GCATGTATTGATGGTAATGTCTTTCTTCTTGACCTTTCCAGGCATTCTGTGGTCTGGTTCTTTTGTATCTAGGAAATAAATATCTATCCTACACTCCCTGTTGCTCTCTTAAATCATAGCTTTTGGTCAATTGTTTAATGCTTTGTGTGATATTTCAGTAAGAAATATAGTGCTGGCAATATTAAGCCTGTTGTTTTTTGTAAATTATTTTTGCACTATCTGATGCTGTCTTCAGGTCTGATACAGCTAAAAAAAAATAATAATAATAATTTAAATCTGCTAAACCTTTGAGGAAATTTTGAGTTGCATTAATATAAGAAGTAATTCTGTTTATAACACATAACATTTTATATCTTTCTTCCTTTCATGTGTTGTCATTTTCAGCCAAAATGTAGAGTTAACATTTGTGTTACAAATTTATCTTCGATTAATTCCTATGCTCATGATGATCTCCTAATGGTACTCTATGGTTGGCCAAAATGATCACGATATTATAAAAATTAAGAGTGTTAATTTAGAGAAGAGGTATAGGAAGACAAAAAGCTCCTCTTTCCTTTAAGCTACACTTCGATCTAAACAGGAGAAAAGAAAAGTAAGGCTTATCATTTATCACTTAACATTGGGCAAATAATTATGCAAATGGAGTTGTCTCATTAAATTCTATTTGTGCCCAGAGGACCAGTTCTCCAATGCTGGTCCAGTCCTCCACTGGCAACTTGCTACTGGGCAAGTTCATTAATCTTTCTCAGGCTGACTTTTTCCATCTCCAAGCAGAGATAATAATAAAAACTGCCTTGCAGGGATATAGAGAGAATAAACATGATAAATTTTAATCACTCTTAGTGCAGTGCATGGCATGTAGCAGGCACTCAACAAAAGTTATTTTATGATAGAACACAGAATTTCAGGCTGTCATTAAATATTAACTCCAGTATGTGTAGTTATAACTTAATTTCAATATTTAATTTGGCATCATCTAGTAAGTTGGGGTTTGCAAGGCTTCATCCAACAAGAATTGTTACAGTTACTATTGTCAAAACCGGGGTAAAAAGGAAAAATACACAGGATGGTGATAATCATTTCTATTTTATGAATGTCCAGGTTCGACTTGGCATGGGCTAGGATATATAGAAATATTATGTACTATGTGTAATCTTCCGAACAGCTCTGTCATTCAAGTGTCCATGCTCCACATTGCATTTGAAAACAATCGTGGAGAAATAGAACAGCAGGTCAAGTCTCACAGTGACTCAGAGGCAGAGTCCCTCTGACCCACCATCCTGCTTCTTCCACCTGCTCTGTGAAGCCACAGGCATGTGGGGCTGAACTGCAGACCTGGAGAGCAGCAGCAAGGACCAGAGGACCCCAGATCCTCCTGTGGTTTTAGCCTACTGGGAAGTGGGGAGTAAATGTCTGTTTTTTAAGTGTCTCCTTCTGAGCTCATCAGAGGTATGAGCCACCAGGAAGGGACATTTCTTAGAAGTCATCCCTCAATCAGCTGAACACATGTACCCTAGGGTCCAGAGAAGGAATGCCAGGGTCACAGAATCATCAGTTTTGGTGTCTGGCCCTGCACTTTGCAGAACAAGACAGAAGCCCAGAGGGCAATGAATGCATCTCAAGTTCACAGAGTTAAGTGGCAGCATAAGATCCAGGTCCTCCCTCTGTATCTGTCAATCAGCTCCCAAACTAACGCAAGGCTCCGGGTTTCCCAAGCCTTTGACATGGGGAAATTTACAAGTAGGGATTCATGGAGAGAATTAATAGCTCTTGCAAGGGCCCTTCACTTCCTCTTTATTGAGCTTCAAATAAAGACTTGCTGACTTAGTCTTAGATGAGGACATAGAAATTCTTCAAGTGAAGCTGGGAAAATCCTTCCATGAAACTTCAGCTTTAAAGTGTTGGCGAAAGCAAAGATTCTCGAGTCTTTTCTAACCCATGCATACTTGAACTTGAAATAATCAATTCTGTCTTTTTCTATAAGCTGTTATAATAATCAGGAAATTCGGGTTGTTATACTTTCCACAAACATGTTCTGAATTTGTAAATGACATCTCATTATCTGACTCATTTTTAATAAGCTGGAGCTTGGAAAAGCAGCTGAAGCCCATGGATACTGAATGAAGAAATAAGACTAGAAAGGAGAACTCAAACACAAGACCTTCTGCCAGATCTTACAGATGTTGCTGTCCTAGATACAGAAGCTCTGAGTGGGAAGAACCATCATTCCCTTCTCCAAGGAGGAGACCAAGATTCAGAAATATCACCTCTTGTTATCCAGCTAGACACTGGCAAGCAGATGGTCACTTCATGACTCCAAAATCAGTATAATTTTTATACTTAGAGTTGCTATGTTGATAAAAAGAACTCAATAAAAAACAAATCCTTTGTGGTGAAGGATTTATAAACTGTAGCTAGAATATGAAGACCAAAAATGTTTTGTTTTAGCTAAGTAACTATCATTTTTAAATCAACTTGTTAGGAATTCAATTGATTGATAGTATATATCTTCCACACAATCCAAAGAAGCGGAGCCCTTCCTTTCTGCAGCTTGCACTCCTTGATTAGTGTGAGCTGGCATTTCCTGCCTTCGAACAGATAGAAACTGAAATGCACGCGAGAACCCAGGTCAGAAGAAAATAAAGACACTTCTACCGCTAAGAGGTAGAGTGCTCCTTTGTGCTGCAATAACAGTTTCCTAGAAGTAAACTACCAGAAGGCTAAGTTTGGTGGTAAAAACAAAAAGAAAAAAAGAAAAACAGACCCCTAAATTTCCTAAAAAGTGACAATAGTTTCTTTGGAGACATGTGTATTTTTCTAGATTGGAAAGCAGAGGTTACATTTGTTTCACAAACTGTAATTCTGTAATAAATAAACCAATAAATACACAGACATTTTAGAAAGACCTTCACTTTTTACATTTATAATCAGATGTATGTCACACATACACACATATTATAGTAACTACATAGAAAAGCTACATTCTTACTTAATATATTTTTTCTTTCATCAAGCTATATTTGAAGGTAATTATAAATCAATTCACAATGAGAAAATTAATGATGTGGACTGTTTTCTGAATTCTTCACACTGCAATGTATTCAGAAACTAAGGTAAGAGATCAATCCAGATCCTCCATTCCTGCAGTTTCCCAGAAAGTGAGACCAACCTTGACATGGCAATGCAGGCCCCAGTGGGCACAAAGCATGCCACCAGGAACAAAACATGATAGTCCTCAGCCTAACATAAAGTTACCCCATTTAAATAGTTTTCCTAGAACACATGAGTATTCATAAATTTGCCATTTTAAAATAATTTAAAACAAATAGTTTTAAATGTCAGCATCTGAAATATCAATAAATATACATGTTAATGAAGATTTTTTCATAGTCTACAGTTAGTTCAGGCTGATCTGGAAAGAAGTGTCTTTACAGTCAGTAATAGATTATGTGAAAGCTATGATAATATTTTTTCTAGTGGGAAGGGGAAGAAATCTAATTGTAATTTTCAGTAACAGAAATCTCCTTAGGTCTCTGGTGTAATATCTGACAAAGCACCTCATAACCCTCTTCCTCTCCCTGAATTTCCCAAGGATATCTGGGCTGTGTGGGTTTTGCATGTCACAAAAGCAGGCTTTACAGCAGCACAAAAACATTGCTTGGCCTCACAAACCAAAGGATAAAGATGCTGCAAAGGCCACTGGAAAGATCAGTGAGGAAGGAATTTAGCCAGACCTTGTGCTGAGCCTCTCCATCAATACCTTTGCTACCATCTGTGTCCACTCTGTGCAGCCAGCACCGGGGGCAGGCAAGTGAGGGGAAATGCTGTTACTCTTACAGAAGAAGCAGGAAGGCAAAAGCAAGACTTTTGAAAAGAGCTTGCCCGGCCAGGCGCGGTGGCTCATGCCTATAATCCCAGCACTTTGGGAGGCCGAGGCGGGTGGATCTTGAGGTCAAGAGATCAAGACCATCCTGGTCAACATGGTGAAACCCCGTCTCTACTAAAAATACACAGATTAGCTGGGCATGGTGGTGCATGCCTATAGTCCCAGCTACTCAGAAGGCTGAGGCAGGTGCTTAAACACAGGAGGCGGAGGTTGCGGTGAGCCGAGATCATGCCATTGCACTCCAGCCTGGGTAACAAGAGCAAAACTCCTCCGTCTCAAAAAAATAAAAAGCATGCCCAAGTGGAATTTTATGTGACAGGTTAAAGTGTCAAAAGAAATATGACCTGCAAAGGCAGGAGAAAAACAAAACAAAACGTGCATTCTCTTTAATTCTCTCTACATTGGTGCCAATGCTCTGACAATGGCTTTATATAGTTTCTCAGCCCCCAGGGTATATCCGGTTCAGCCCCAGTGTTCTATACCTTGGTGTGGGCCTGGCACGGGGATACTATTCTGTGTCCCAAACCAAATAGAGTGCCATAGATAAGCAGGTTGAAGGCTTTGTCACTCAGAAATCAGAACAGAAAAACTCCTGGGACAGTTTATCCCATACATGAATACCTAATTCACGAAGCCTCCAGGCTACTCTTTAGTTCCAGTATTTTCTCCAGATATTGTAACTAAATTGAAACACTTGCATGATTTGTAGCACCTAGTGTGTGCAGAGCATCGAGTACTTGATCATGTTGTGTTTACAGAGTACTTAGTGTTTGCAGAATATATAGTGTCTGCCAAGAATCTAATGTTTGCAGAAGATCCAGTGTGTGAGAGGGTCTAGTGCGTTCAGAGCATCTATTGTCTGGGGAGCATCTAGTGTCTGGACATGTCATATTTATAAAGCATTTAGTATCTGCAGAGCATAAAGTGTTTGCAGAGCTTCTGGCATCTACAGAGCACCTAGTGTGTGAGACCATTTAGTGTTTGCAGTGTACAAAGTGTGCGTACCTTGTGTGTACAGAGCCTTTATTGTTTGCAGAACATCTCATGTGTACAGAGCATTTTGTGTGTATTGAGTCTGAACTCTCTGGCTCGGTGTGAGAAGGAGGCTACTCACCACATTGCAGCCTGCACAGTCAGGCCCATTCTCACAGGTCCTGCGACGAGCTTGAATGCCACCCCCGCACTGGGCTGTGCACCGTTCCCAAGGACCCCAGCCTGTCCAGAACATGTGTGGGGGACACAGCAAATGTTCATTGCAGTATCTGTAATGAGGAAACCAAAAGGAAAAGGAAACTAATTAGTGCCACTTGAGACCACTGACGTCTTCATCTCCATCCCTGCACCAGATGTGGAACACATGGGCATGCTCTGTGTGGAGGGGCTTGCTGTACTTGGAGCAGCTGCACATACAGAAGGCAGATGTGACGCTGGCCATGCTGTGTGTGCACAGACAATGGGATGCACGGCAGACAGTGAAGAAAATGCTAAACTCACAATGCAGGATGGATCTTCCTGTGCAGCCAATTAAAGAAAAAACAAAACAAAACCCTTCAAACAGACGCCCAAAAATAAGAGTATACAGAAAATACTTAGGTAGGGCATTTATCTTCTGAACATAAACATTGAAAGACAAAGCAGGTTACAAATACAAAGTCAGCATAGCTTTACTTGGAATTCCTTTCTTGTTCTTAAATCAAATGAGCCCAGAGTTATATTAAGATAAGTTAAAGGAAAGTTATGGCATGGGTTTAGCATGAAGGCCCATGCTATATACAGCCTAGGCTATTCTACTTTTAAATTTACTTGTAGGTTCTCAGAATAATGCCAAACAATGTAAAAGACCACTTGTTATTCAAAAAGAATTGAATTATTATGCAACTTTACAAATATTAGTTCAATTTTTCAGTGTTTGAGTATACTTCTAAACTTCCACATACATATTCATTTGCTAAATTTTAGCCAAATATCCAAAGCCTCCTTTATCCCTATCACGAGTCACATTTCTCTTCAATTTTTAGTACTGCAAGTGAAATGAAGCGAAGTGAGGGAAACAAACAAACAGCAAGGAAACAGAAGGAAACAGCCTGGCGTTCTACAGGGTACAACTTGTAGGAAGAAAGAGGTGACTCGGAACAACACCAAATGCAGTGAGACACACTCGGTGATTAAAGAACTACTGTAACTCTATAATCCATCCACTAAGCCTAAATTCCCATATTTACCTTCTAGGGAATACTAGAATGCACAACGTTTTCTCATGTCCTCCTCTCTTGCCAGGCCATCTGCCTTAAGAAACAAGAGGCAAAGTTTCCCATCGTTGGCGTAAGTCAATCACCTTTACCTGCATCAATATTAACAGAGGCTTAATCCTGCAGGGCCTATGCAACAGGAATTGTAGAGGGCTTCCTGGTCACAGGTGTTCACAGTCTAAGATGAACACAGGGAAATGCACACAGCTCAGAATGTGCAAAACTATCTTAATACCCAGTGGCATCACTATAGTTATTTATGCAGAAGGAAATGCTTTTCTGGAACTGAAAATGAGGGCAAATGGTAGCCAGCCACCAGGAAACGAAATTTGGAAAGTGTAGTTTCCTGACAGTCAATGCGGTTAAGATGGAACTGTTTTTCTGTCAAATCAGAAAAATTTCATGGGGACTGTGAGGGCTTTAGAAACAGGGACAGTGTGAAAAGTAGAAAGCAAGGCCGAGCTGAGGGGTGAAAACAGGATGGGGCACACTGAGCCCCTGTCAGTGTTCTGGAAAATAATGGAAGGTAGAAATGGAAAGAATAAAGCAGGAAAGGTCACTGAGATGAACAGAACAGAAAAAGGGAACAGGGAGCGGGATGATCTGTCTTTACCAAATACAGTGGACAACTGGAACTTTATAAGAAATCAGGTAAGTTACACAGAGCTCCAGAGATAAAATAACTCCACGAGAATTAGGTGGCAGACTCATCTCCAGTAGTCGGTGCCTCGTTTTGACTATGCACTGGAGCCCCTGAGATTCGAGGAGTTTCTCATATTTCAGTATGAGGTCTGCATCTCCCCAGACAGGAGAGTTTAGCAGCAGGAAGAGCACATAGAACAAACAGCAACTAGAGATGCTGGACTGCAGCAATTCAAATGAGAGAAACTTGAAACTAGATAACTACCATGGTGTTGAAAAGAAGGAGAAGAAGTGATGCAGATGGGGTTTGGTATAGAGAAAGTACAATATGGCAACTGTGTGAATGCACGAAAACAAAACAAAACAAAACAAAACAAACAAGTGGAGCCAAAGTCAGCCTCTTAAGTGAAAGTGGAAGGCAGAAGTCACTGCTACTTCCTGGGAGAGACAGTTGATATGTAGGGGGCGAAGGACGCTCCAGAGAGTCAAGAACCAATTAGGCAAGCAGTTTAGTTTGTCCAAACTTTCAGATTTGAGAGTAGCCTATAGAACGGGACAGTTATCACTCTTCCTCAGCTTTTCCGCATTTAAGATAACACAGAAACACTAGGTTTCCCTCCTTAGGTGGTCACTGTAGTCTCCCAGTGTCCGACTCTCAGAGCTCAGGGCTACTGGACATTCCTAACGTAGTAGGGGAATGGGAAGGACCCTCTAATTAAGAGGGCATGGCCTCTAGATAAGAGAGACAAGACAAAAGTGAGACTATTATAGATGAAAAGAATTGACCTTAGGAAGTACGTGAAAATGTGTCAAGTTACAATAAGTAAATATTAGTATGCGTGCTGGTTCATGGAGTATTCCGGGAGGAAACTGACACCTGTTTTGAGAAAATATTTTGAGGAAGTCAAGAAAACTCAGAATATCAGAACTGTCAGCATTTAGTTAAATTATCTGTATATAGCTCACTGTGGGTAGCATGACAAGTAGGCCATGTCCATTTCTAAGCTGATTCACCAGCATTCAAAAGGTATGCACTTCTTAGAAAACTCGATTCTAATTTCAGCTTTCAACAGGCCCCCCACTTCTAAAGAACAAACAAGAAAAAGGGTATGGAAGGCAGAGAAAAACCTTACGAAAGATGTTTATTAAACCCTTGACTTTCAATAAAAAGCACAGCAACTGAGCTACCATTTCCCCAAAGCAAAATAAACCATAGTGCACAAATCCTTTCTCTCATTTGCTGACAGCAGACCATCCCTGAAAATGCTCAGCATGTTATTATCGTGAAAATCTACTGCAGGGTAACCTGTGCGTGTAGCATGGAACTTTCAACCAGTGTTAATGAATCATCTACTGAGCTGCTATTTTAAGATTGTCAATCCTGCCTTCTTTTTCTTTCTTCTATAGTAGTCCATGAAACAAGCCATACCAGAATCTGCTAGGGTATCACCCTCTGAAATTGCAGCCTCCCCAATAAGAGAGGTCAGAGGGAAGTAGAAATTGCTAGGCTAGCTCTTTGTATCTGGGTTTTCACTAAGGAATTCACCCTGGAAGAGTGCTCAGAGGCAAAGCCTTCAGAAGCCCTTAAGCATGCATCCTCCACAATTGTGAGAAAGCATTTCCTCTCACCCTCTCCCTGCTCCCACCCCAACTAACTCATGCTCCTGAGAGAGGCCCCTCTTATGAAGCTATACAAAAAACAATGAGGTTGAAAGTCAGTGACCTTGGTATCTCTGCTGGTTAAGGGGTTTTTTAATTAATTTGTGGATAAAATGTCTACACAATGGGCCAAAAGTTGGTTTCCCTTTCTCTAGTTCCCAACATGCTGCTGCTGACTTTTAGCAAACAACGAGCTCAAATGTTTTCCAAATGTTCTTGGGTCTTGTGTGTTTTCTAGTATGTGAAAGCACTGCAAGTCACAGATGCATCTCATGATGCATTAATAATCAAGATTTTAATTTTGCCTATGACTGCTTATTATCATGTTGCATTTAAAAGCAAGTTAATGACCCAGCACTGTTTCTCTATAAATTATCCACTTTTTTCACAAATCTAGTCCCTTATGAAAATAATGACCTTTTACAATTCCACATGGACTATTCAGCACTCTGTCATGCTATAAATTGTTCTTTCTCTTATAAAATATAAATTGCATAATTTGTGTTCCATTCTGGTTAGGTCCAAGCTAGTTGCTCACTGCAACCTCTGTTAACCTGAACCAGTGAGGGCCTCTTCTGAACTATTTCCTCCTTGCTTCACTCCAAATGATCCGCCCTTTACTGGGCCATACTTCCATAATGAAATTTTTATGGCAACAGAGAAAATGCATGTACATAAAGTCTACCATAATATTCAATTCAACCCATTTAGGAAGATAAGTAACTTGTGAAGAACATCACTTTGGCTCACCACAGGACTCAGCCAATATACTGATGAAGACAAATAATCGCAAAATAAAAACCATTGATCCCTGGGACTCTTTGAGAATGCATTGGACATGCTCTAACATGTTCCCCGTGATCCCCAGCTCCTAGAATTCATACCTTGTGTAATCTCCTCCTACTGAATGTGAGTGGGACCTGTCACTTGCTTCTAACCAACAGAATATGTGAAAGATGATACAATGTCACTTCTGTCATTATGTTACATAGATTGTAACGTCCTTACTTCAAGAAAACTTTCTCCCTTCTTGGCTTCGAGGAAGCAAGCAAAAAGATGACAAGGACTCCGTTATCAAAGAATTGAGGGGAGCCTCCGGCTACCAGCCAGCAAGAAACTGAGGCCCTCAGTCTGACATTCCACAGGAACTGAAGGCTTCCAACAGCCACATGATCTGAAGGCAGGTCCTTCTCCAGCCGAGCCCCACTGACATCACAGATGGGGCCTACATGTTGACCGCAGCCTTGTGAGAACCTGAAGCTTTGCCCAGACTACAAAACCCACAGACACCACAAGCAAATAAACGCCTGGTGCTTTAAATGCCTAAGGCTGTGGTGATGTTACCATATGACAACTGTTAAAACAGACCATGGTAGCTGGAAGTCTGGTGCTACTGTAGGAGGTTAAAATGTGAACATGGCTTTGAGACCAGGGAATGGCAGGAAGCAGAATAATTTTGAGGAGTATGTTAAAGAAAACATAAATCACCTTGAATCAACCATTGGTGGAAACCCAGACTTCAAAGACATGGCCAGTGAAGGTTTAGAGAGAAATTGGATAAAGAACTAAAACTGAACTTCAAAAAAGATGGTCTTCTCACCACACACACACACACACACACACACACACACACGAAAAACATGTGAAGCAATGCAAAAGTGAATTGGTTCAATTTTAGCCATCCATAATGTACATATATTTTAAACAAGATT